GGGGAGGGTGGCTTCTCTACAGCACACACTAAATTCCTGGAGTTCTTCGTTAAGGTGCCATGCCAGTCCATTTCTAGTTTTGGAGCATCACACAATACTTAGGGGTATATTTATAACCAACTCACAGAGCCATGTACCCTACAAATCTTTCTGAACATTTTTTCTGGGTGAATAGACACAAAAACAAATGTGCTTAGTAGGGATGTCCCGAGTATTGGGGCCGGTACTTGTACTCGTGAAAATGCCCCGATACATAAAGCCGATACCGGCCATTTAAATTTTTTTCAAATAGCTTTGGGTGCCGGAGAGCAAGGACAGGTAGAGGGCAGCACGTGGGAAGCCATTCTCCTCCAGAATATGCCCTTCACCAATCGCAGCTTCCCTCTCCGCTCTGACCCCTCCGGACGGAAGTGTGACAGCGTGGCGGGCAGTGAGTGTTCTGTGTGATGGAACTCTGTGGACTGTATTGTGCAGTGCAGAAGTGCCGGGGAAGAGCGAGAGCCGGGAGATAGATCCTGTGTTCGGGTGTATGAAGAGTGTCTACTGTGAGTGACAAACTTTTTGTTTACCTGTGTATGGCACAATCACCCAAAGAAGGGGGGCATTGCAGTTGGATATTATTGATATTTAGGGGGTTTAGTGAATAACCGAGCCAAAGTGAACTGAGCCGAATGGCGTCGGCTATTCACTTCGGCTCTGTATGGCTGATTCTTGCCATACATCAGCTACAATCAGCCGTACATTGGCTGGCTTCGGTCAGCCGAACATGCTATGTAGAAGACGTTCGACTTAGCCGATCCAACATGCCGAAGCTCCAGCAGTTCCCTTGCGGCCGTTCACCCCTATTCTCATAGAGGCCGGACGGCAGTGAGTGAATGGCCGAATGCCGCCGAGTAGCATTCGGCTCGGCTACTCTGCTTGCTACCCCCGTGGTAGTGGGCAGAATAAACAAAAGATTTAAACAAAATGAAAAAATAAAAAAAGATAAATAATAATTTAAATAAATTTTAAAAAAACAACAAAGAATAAAAACAATTTAAGAAAATAATAAAAAAAATAATGTAAACGTAAGAAAAAAAGAAACTGTGTGGGGTCCCCCTCCCAAACAACACAAGGCCCTTTAGGTCTGGTAGGAAAGTTAGGAGGGACCCCAAATTATTATTTTTTTAAAGTGCATGGGGTTCCCCCCACAGTAGTTAGCAATTCTGCCTTGCAGCACTGGGGTCCCTGGTTCAAGTCCTGGCCAGGTCACTATCAGCAAGGAGTTTGCATGTTCTCCCTGTGCTTGCGTGGGTTTCCTCCGGGTACCTCCCACACTCCAAAGACATGCTGGTAGGTTAATTGGCTCCTGTCTAAGTTGGCCCTGTATGTATGCATGTGAGAGCGGGACCATAGATTGTAAGCTCCTTGAGGGCAGGGACTGATGTTAATGTGCAACTATTTAAAGTGCTGCGTAAAATTGTCAGCACTATATAAATACCTGTAATAATAATAATACCAAGCCCCCCAAAAATGGGGGGGGGGGAAGGGGGGGGCCCCCCTAAAAATTCCCAACCAGACCCTTGATCTGAGCACAGGCCTGGCAATTCACCTTGTCCCAGTGCCGATGAGGACAAGGGCCTCTTCACCACAAACTCTGGGACGTTGGTTGTGGTTATTTCCATTGGGGTACCCCCTTTAATAAAGGGGGCCCACATGTGTCCCCTTTGTGAATGAGTAAGTGGTGCACTTGTATCCCTGCCCATTCACTAAAGGGTTCCCCTTAGTGGAAAAAAAATATGTAAATAAACACTCCAGAGTTTAATAAAAAATCCTTTAACTGAAATAAAAAAACAAAACACAGATTTTTGACAAGTCCTTTATTAAGAAGAAAAAAAAATGGATCCACCAACATAATCCAGGGTCAACCATGACATCCAGCATTGTCCACCATGACGACTCGTCAAAATAAAAAAAATAAAACATTAAAAAAAACCTGCCGCCCGCACGCAACAAACTCCCGCCGCAGAATGACATTCTGGCAGATGCCGGCAAAATATAGGTAATTGAGCGGAGCTAGCAGTGACATCCACCCTAGCTCTGCCCAACTGTTTACATTTGTCCGGCATCTGTCAGTCTGCCCGCAGGTCCCGGTCAAATAAATACGTGATGTCACGGCTGGCTCCGCCCAGTTGTTGTCATTTAATGGCAGCCCAGTGTCCTCAAATAACCTGAGAACGCTGGCCTGTCATTGATTGACAACAACTGGGCTGGCTCTGCCCAGTTGTTGTCAATTGCGGGGAAAACTGTCTGCTTAGCTGCTGTACGGCTATTGTGAATAGCCCACACAGCAGCCGAATGGCTCCGGTGGCCGATATGAGCCGAAGGATCAGCCGAAGCTATGGCTAGATCCTCCGGCAGGTAAGTGAATAACCCTCTTAGGCCCCGTTCACATTGAGCGGTTCGCAAATCGCGCGATTTGCATTTTGCACGATTTGTCACACGATATCGTGCAAATGCTTGCATTGAGCAAGCTTGAATCGCGGCAAAATCCGCTCCAAAAAGGGTCCTGCTGTAGCGACACACGACCCGCAACAGCAGGACCCTTTGCCCCATTGCCAAGCAATGGAGCGCGATAACGTGCGATAAATAGCTGCGATATCGCTCAATGTGAACGGGGCCTTAAGTGTTTTTCACTATTTGCACAGCTGCTTTTGATAGTGATGTTGAATCTGGAGAAGCGCGGATACTTCTCTGACTAATACTTTTTAATGTTCACCGTCCTAGACCAAGGGTAGCCAAACTCCTGTCCTCCAGCTCGGGGGAAAGTACAAATACCTCTGCCTTTGGAAGTCATGTCTTTGGCTGCCAGTCTTGTGATGCCTTATGGGACTTGTAGTTCTACAACAGCTGGAGGGCCAAAGTTTGGCTATCCCAGCCCTAAACCCATAAGTGATTATTTAACCCTGGCAGTCCTGACCTGTATACACGTTCTTGCTGTCTTTACATACAATGCAGGACTGTTTGCACATGTATTGCAGCGCCCCACAACATCGTAATGCACTGCATGCAAATTCTGCATGTCTGTCCAAAATGAATGAGCTTCCCTCAGAACACATTTGTTAGCACAACACAGAAGATTGGCTAAGTGTAAATGTGCCCTGAAAGTTCTCAGCCACGCCCATGTTTATATGACTGAATATCTATTTCTCGGTCGTTATGAGCAGCGGGGGAATATTCTGAATATGAGCCACACATGGGATACACAGTACACTGCGATATGAATCAGGAACGGCTTCAGCATTATCACGTGACCATTAACCAGCACGCAGAGAAACAGATAGGAGGACATACGCAGTGCGCTGAGAGACCTACGAAACGGCGCACGGGAACGAGCACGCACGCACGTAGGTAGGGATTGCCGGTGATGTGTCGAAAGTGCGAACTTATCGAGTTGTGGGACCGCATGACTTCCGGTTTCCTCAGAACTACGATGTTTGATCACAAAACATGTTGTGCACGAGCGCCATCCACGGCATTGCCCTATAGACATAGACCGCAGCAATAAAGTAATAAAATGATGTAGGATGACAGTAAGCCAGCACGTTCTTTATCTCCGGTGCCCCACTCAATATGGCCGCCGCTTGAGTGGGGCACCTGAGATAAAGAACGCGCTGGCTTAGTGTCATCCTACATCATTTTATTACTTTATTGCTGTGGTCTATGTCTATAGGGCAATGCCGTGGATGGCGCTCGTGCACAACATGTTTTGTCTAAAAACCTCGTAGTTGTGAGGAAACCGGAAGTAATGCGGTCCCACAACTCGATAAGTTCGTAGTTTTGATCGATCACCTGTGCGTGGTTTATGATGAACTAAGAAGTGACAGTCGTGTCAGCAGCGTCATGTTGCTATGACAACACGCCAAGCACGCCGCCGTCGTCCAGGAGTATAACGATCGGGTAACATGAACGGCTGTGGTGACTAGCTATAGGGAGCTCAGCCTGTGCTCCGGGTTGGCAGGTGAGTGCGTGCTGCGGGCGATGGATGGAACGATTCTCAGGCCAGTGGCCCTCTGTGATGTGGGCTGGTGTGGAGGTGGGGGGACCCCATATTCCTGCTGGAGGTGGGGGGGGGGTCCCCATGTTTCATTATTCATAAATTGCTGACTTCTGCCGTGGAGCTTGATAAATACGGGGTGCCTCAAGTGTGCACCCTAACATGTCAACAGGACCCCACAATTGCTTCGTTTTTGTAAATTTGCTGTTATTTTATGTTTTATTATTATTATTATGAGGTAATTATATCTTAAATCAGAGCTCCAGACAAAATAAGTAAAAAAAAATGAAAATCCCATTAAATGATAAACTAACAATCAACTTTTACTATCTTTTACAATCTAGAGATTTGCCCCTGCAGTACTAGTTTTCTGCCACTAGATGCCTTCAGCCTGATGGCCCAGCCCACTTCCTCTCTGAGCCCAGGGTGCCCGTGACTGGAGTGCCATAAGAAAATAATGGCACTGCCAGCACGATTGGCGGTGGTGTGCGATTCCGTGACCGCCCAGCCGCTTGGTTTCGTGCACGATGACCGGGCGGTCACAGATCGCACACCACCGCCGATTGCCCTGGCACTACCATTATTTTCTAATGGCACTCCAGTTGTGCCAGTCAGGTTGCACGTTTTCACGCTGCAATACCGCCCTGCCCGTGTGGTTGCATGCTATCGCAGTTGAAAACACTGCACATTTATTTGCATGCAGATGGGGCAGCGGGGCTGGTTTTCATTTTTTAAATTTGTATTTACTTTGTAAAAAATTTTTCATTTATTTTTATTTAGTTACATTTTTAATTAGTTGTTATTTTTCTAAACAATTTTTTTTTACTTAACTGTATTGCTATCACACAGGGGATAACAAACAGGGCTAAAACACTTGCCCGGCGCTTGGAACTACATGTCCCGGGTGTCGGGCGATACGAATTCCACACCCCTGTACCTAGTCACATACAGGTACTTCCACTGCTTGCATTTAGCAATGTATTAATGATTACAGAGCTGTATTAATTTATGTATTTCATATCTGCCTAGGGTTCAGCTTTAAAGTGACATTAAAGGCTAAAGTGCCCCCCCCCCCCCCAGTGCTAAAGTAAGGACTTACCTTAAATGATGCCTCTAAGGCCTGGTTCACACCTGGGCGTTTTACAGCGTCTCTACGCGCTGTAAAACGCTCAGCATGTGAAAACCAATAATTGCCTATGGGCATGGTTCCCACCTGGGCGTATTTCAGCACGTAGGAACGCGCTGAAAAACGGCCTACACCCAAAGAAGTACTGGAGCTTCTTTGGGGCGTATTTTCCGCGCGTATCCATTGCGATACAGCCGGATAGCCCTCGTAAACGCGCGTTTGTCGCGTTTTTCTTTTACTGCAAAATGCGGTAAAAACACGTGGCACGAAACGCACGGCAAACGTGCATGTTTTGTACGCCCAGGTGTGTACCCAGCCTTAATCCCATCCCCTGTCCTTTTCAGCTGTCCCTCCAGCGCTGGGTGTGGGTCTCCAATCCAGTGCTGACTCCTCCGTCCTCTTCTCTGATGTCTGTCCCACGGAGTCTGTCCGGGTGCACACTGCTCCATAGACTTACCTTGTGTCTCTCCTCTTCTCCCGGCCGGACATCTGAAGTGCGCATGCGCCTGCCCCAAGATCCTTTGGGGCCGCCTGAGCGTCTTCAGATGTTCGGACGGGAGCACGCGGCAGAGACACCGGTAAGTATTAACCCTTTCAAAAAGTTTTTTTGTTTTTTTTAATTGTTTTGCATATATCTACTGCTTGCTAGCACTCGATGGAAACACATGCGAGGGATAATAACCCTTTAAATAAAAGTGCTCTGTCTTTTGTATTGGACAAACTGGCGCTCTCCTTGAATGCTACTATTGGAGGAGTTCTCCCCCCTGACTCCTTCCCGGATTGGCTGTCTGATAAATGGCTCCATTCATAAAGCTGTACACAAGGGTCACTATCTTGGTTTTTAGCCATGTGACTGTCATTTTCAAATCTCATTGGTCATTGGGCTTTTTTGAAAATTGTGCCGTGTCACAGAAGCATCAGCAACCGGATCTCTGACACATTGCTAACGTTTGCTATGTAGCCACTCTCTTGCTAACTGGACCCCCCAGATGAGGTTCCCTCACTAAGAAATGAGATTCGGCAGCAACCCAGACCAGTGCCCGAGGGATTCCATTAAGGTAAGTGGACGCCTCTCTTTGGTGATGTGTCACCCTGCAGCAGTATAATCCCAAATGTGACATGGCCCTAGAGATCCTTTGCTGGTGTCTCAGCTTTGTAAATTGAGCCTACTGGTTTGAAGAAGTTTTAGTATAGTACAGCGGTAGCCAAACTTCGGGCCTGCAGCTGTGGTGAAACTACGAATCCCATCGTGTTTCCAGGAGTAATGCCTGTGGCTGTCAGAGTCTTGCAATGGCTTTTGGGACTTGTAGTTCCACAAGGCTGAAGTTTGGCTACACCTGGTTTTGTGAATCTTTTTTTCTCCTTTTGATGTTCCATCTTAGTGCTCCTAATCTGTTAGTGAAGTATTGAGAGCAGAATAAGCCAGGCTTGTGTAGACAGAAATGAGCAATTAGGGCTGTTGTGGCCATGCTGCACCCACTGCTTAAATTTGGCAATGGTGTGTGGTTGTTGAGGCTCCTTGCAGCCTCTCCTGGCAGTGGTGGTGATGGTGGGTCGGTTGTTGAGGCTCATGGCAGCCTCTCCTGCCTGGCAGTGGTGGTGATGGTGGGTCAGTTGTTGAGGCTCCTTGCAGCCTCTCCTGTCTGGCAGTGGTGATGGTGGGTCAGTTGTTGAGGCTCCTTGTAGCCTCTCCTGTCTGGCAGTGGTGATGGTGGGTTGGTTGTTGAGGCTCTTTGCAGCCTCTCCTGCCTGGCAGTGGTGGTGATGGTGGGTCAGTTGTTGAGGCTCCTTGCAGCCTCTCCTACTTGGCAGTGATGGTGGGTTGGTTGTTGAGGCTCGTTGCAGCTTCTCCTGCCTGGCAGTGCTTGGTGGGTGAGCTGTTGCATTCTTGTTGCCCCCTCTGCATAGCAGTGGTGCTGGTATGTGGGCTGTTACTGCATCCTTGCTTCCTAGCAGCGGTGGGCGGATGGGCTGTTTACAGCTTCCTTCCCCTCATGTTTAGTGAAGGGGGGTAGACATATGTATTTTAATATATGTGAGAGGTACTGCAGGTTTTCTATTCTGAGGTTTTCTATTATGCTTTCTCCAGCAGAAGGCATGAGGGGACTAAAGTGCTCCTCCAGAAGATGGAGGAAGCCCAGCCAGCTCAGAAGACTGGCACTCTGAAGTTTAGAACCCAGAACGTCTCAGGGCTGAGTGCTTCCAGGTTTATTCCTTACAGAAGGAACTGGAACTCTCCATCCTGAATGCAGCTGTAGAGGTGTCAGGCTCTCGGAGAATCCAGGTGAGTCCTGGGAGCAAGAGAGGAGTACCGGGCCCTTTAACAGTATGTAGAAGGGATTGGGAGGCTTTTCATGGGAGTTTACTGTAAACTCAGGTAGACATCTGAGTCCTCCATGCAACACACATGAGTTTCTACCTGTCCAGCAGACAGGCAGGGGCTGATGCAAGAAAGAAATATGGCTCCAATCCCTTGAACATTGAGCAGGTGGGGGGCTTCTGCCCTATAGAGATGGATTATGTCCTGTACATCAGTTTATCCAGCTCCAATTGAATGTGTTCTCATTTTTATTCCCAGATGTGCTGTGCTTGATATATTTGATGTTCTCATATATGGTTGTCACCTATGGCACATTATAGAAGCTATCAGTTTGGATGACATAAAGCTGGCCATACACCTATAGATTATCTGCAGATTATCTATGGTCAGATGGAAAAAGTGCAACGAATTGCTCCAGCTACGCTAATCTGCGTGTATGGAGGAATCTCCCACAGGGCCGACTAGCAAGATACTGAAGCTTGGCCCAGTGGGAGATTCCTCCATGCACACAGTTTAGCGTAGATGGAGGAATCTGTTGCACTTTTTCCATCTGACCATAGAAAATCTAGAGATAATCTATAGGTGTATGGCCAGCTTTAGTTCATGAAATCAGCCCTGGAGTTTGCATAACCTTTTATATAGCATTTCCTCTTGTAATTGACAAGTATTAGGGGGTTCTCTTTTCTGTTGAAGTGGCTTTATAGGGCGACAATCACATCGAGTAAACTGCTCAGTAAATATTCTGGTCATTATTCTGAGCACTTATTGAATAATTAGGCAGCTTTTGATGCCTTGTATCCTTCAGTAATAATTCATTGTACAGCAAGCGGTAGGTCTACACAATATCAGGGTCATGAATTATTCCTACACATGGTGATTTTAATCATTGTGCTTTCTCTGTGTGCGGTCACATTTCAGCATAATGTATGTCCAGTTGGTGGTAACAACACACACTTATTACCTATTTTCAGATGAAGTATTTCATAAATCCATTGCTTCTTTTCTATAAGGGAGTCAGAGTGTCTATTGCCTTATTTTTTTCTTTCATCTCTAAGTTCATCCTTATATTTATGGCGGGACTGTACATTAGCTGCCTCTTGTAGGCAGTGCTGGAAGTGCAAAAATGGCAAGAAGAAATACAAATGTTTGCATGCATTGGTCTCCCTAGAGGGTTTTTGCTGGACGCTGTGCCTGGCTGTTTGGTGGACACCCAGCAAGACCCCCCCCCACCCCCACCCCAGGGAGAACAATGTAGAGAAGGCTCCAGATACCCCTTTATTTTCTCCAAGCTCATCTTGCTCATCATTTAGCATGGGGCCACTCTTGGGAGAATTAGGATTGAGAGCAGAAGATTTGTGAACTCCCAATTAGAGAATTCCTCTATGCTATATGAACCTGGAAGTGCTCCGGGTTCAGAGCTGTCAAATCCAAGCTGCAGCAGGTTGGGATGTCTGTGTATGGGCTGGTGGAAGAGGCTGTAGGCATCCTACTAGGGATGCGTATGGATGTTAGAAGAGAAAAATGAAAAATATGTATGTCGGATGACAAACGTGAAATATTACCTCTATTGTAGATTGTGATGGAACATTTCCTTGTTCAAGTACTGTAAACTCTATGGCTTTTATGGGTATAGCAAACTAAAAGTGGAACAGCAGGAATTAATCCTTATCAATTCTAAGCCCTGAAGATCTCTAATACATAGTGTGTGCGTTTGTGCGTATATAGATAGATGGATGGATAGATAGATAGATATAGATATAGTCTGTGACGAGAGGACGGTGGAGCCCGACGAGCAGCTTCCGGCCGGCCATTGTAATTACACGGCCGGCCGGGAGCTTTACATTCAAGCGATCGGGCGTCTCTAGAGATGCTCGATCGCTTGTATTAGCAGCTGTCACTGCCGTTGCCGGTCCCGAGATCCAATGTGCCTGATGCGGCCGGGACCGGCACGGCTCTGTGACAGGAGATCAAAGGGAGGTCAGTATACGGGCTCCCTTTTATTCTCCTCTCAGTCCCCGAGTGCAGGAAGTGATGTATATTACATCACTTCCTGCATTCAGTGTCACTCTCCAGCTACAGAAGCTGATGAAGCTGATCTCTGCTTCATCAGCTTCTCTTGAGGTCCCTAGGTGACATTAGGGGTCTTGGACCCCTGATGTCTCCATAAAGAGGACCTGTCATGTAAATTGGCTATCACATAGGGGGCTTCTTATCCCCCCATGTAATAGCAATTAAAAAAAAAAAAAAAAGTAATACAAAAATTAAAGAATCATAAAAAAAATTAAAGAAAACAATTTTTTTAAAGTCCCCGCCCCCCACATACACGGATATGTGTCGGGTGCGCCTACGTTCTAAAATGACGATTGCGCCTATTGTGCCACACGTGTTACATATCGCCTTAATCATTTGAGAGGATCTCTGATTAAGATCTGCAGTAATCTGATGCACTGTTGCCCTTCTGTTGTCTTGTACCAGTCTTGCCACTCTCCGTTCTGCCATAACATTGACTAGTCGCTGACGGCCACAATTCGCACGTTCAGACCCAGATTTTTGGCGACAGTCCAGTCTTTAAACACTTTAACAACAGCTGCTCTTGAACATTTAACGAATTCTGCTGGTTTGCTGATACTCGCTCCATGGCTCCGAGCGCCAACAATCACCCCACGTTCAAAGGCTGTTAAATCGCATTGTTTACCCATATCTTCAGAAAAAAATAACTTCTACTGTCGTGGTAAACAACTTGCTTCCCTATTTATAATGGTCTGGCCCTCTAGCAACAGCGCAAAAATTATAGCTAATTTGCCTACAAACGTCAGGTGGTCATAATAATCTGGCCACTCAGTGTATGCTGAGACGTTACAACTCCTTTATGGTCTGTCCACTTTCAATGAAAAAGAAACCCCAAAGCTGATACTTCCATGCTGCACTGAAGACATTATCCGGATGACTCCCCTTTCCATCACTTGTTTCAGGAAATGTAACCGTAGTTTCTAAACATCTGGAGTGCTGATTGCTCGCAGGGACTTCCCAAGGCCAGAGCGGCGTGGTACCAGAACCAAGCTTAGCAGCTCTTAGTGTACCTCTAGTCTCAGAACTTCTGTTTAAATATGGAGAAACAAATGATACACAGGGGTTCATAAAAGACAACCTTCACTACTGGACATAAGGCCACCACTAGATGGGTGTCCCACTTTGTTGCTGAAAGTTGGAGAAAAAAAATGTTGCCACTTGACTTTTTTGAGCCATTTCTGTTCCTTGCCCCATTAAGTTTTCTATAAACAGTACAGTGGCACCTCGGTTCACGAACGTTTCTGTTCAGGAAGTTTGGCAAAATTTTGCTTCCGTTGACTAACTCCGTATCGGGTGACGAACACAACTGCAGCCACCTTCCCTGCTCTGACACATGGTCGTTGCTTCCTCTAGTCGAGATTGCGGTCTGATCACAGTTTGATTGGGTTTGCGACCAGAATCATGGAACAAATTAAGTTCGTGAACCGAGGTACCACTGTTCTTAGTATTTCTCTGTAGGACACCTACAGCTACTACTATGGACAAAGTATCATACATGTGGTGTTTAGGTGCAGGACCTATTACTAAGGCAAGGTGGACAAATTCAAATGGAATTCAGGGTCTGGTCTGTCCAATCCAGGACACAGGGAATTTTTTAGGAGCCAGCTCCATTGAAAAGAAGTAGAGAACCTCCAAATTTAGGTGCCAGATGTTATTTTATGGAGCTCCTGGGATTTGTCCAGCTGGTCAAAGCTGGAGCAGACAGAGCCTGGAGCAGTAGCCCGTGGTAACCAATAAGCTTCTCTTTTTAGTTTGTTCAGTTAAAGTGACATTAAACCCTCAGATTTTTTAACATAAAACAATACTGTAATGTGTGCCTTACTGTAATCCATGGTAGTTTCCCTTCTCTTTGCTGCTCTTCCTTTTAAATCTGTATCTGTCCTCATGCTCTGCAGAACTTCTGTTTTGCAGCAGACTGCCTTGTCTCAGGAATGGATACACGGTGTCTGTGTATAAGGTTGTATAGGCTTGTAACCTGAGCCAGCACTACAGGAAGAGGCCCTGAGCTGAAAAGGGAAGTTCTCCCCAAGCATGAGAAGACATGAGGATTTAAAAGGAAGAGCAGCAAAGAGAAGGGAAACTACCATGGATTACAGTAAGGCACACATTACAGTATTGTTTTATGTTAAAAAATCTGAGGGTTTAATGTCACTTTAAGATTTGAAAATTAAAGAGAGAAGCTGATTGGTTGCCATGCGCAGCTGCTCTAGATTTTGTCTGCTCCAGTTTTGATAAATTCCCCTCACTGTATCATACATATGGTAATTATGCGCAGAAATGTAAACAGCATTTCTTTACGCGATGATAAAAGACAGAAATTAATAATTGCATTCTGGTTCTAGAACTCTCTGGTCCAGCAATGTCTGCATCTTCTAGAGGTCCGTCCAGAAACACAGGTCAGAGAAGCAAAACCACGTCGCCACCGCTAGCTTCTTCTTCCGCAAACTCAGCCAGTGGAGTCCGAGCAAGACCAAGCGATAAGCTGAACCCCAAAACTATAGATCCGGTAAGTGGTATTGTGTCTTATTAAAAATACTTTGTATAAATGTCAATTGATGTCAATGACCACACACAACAAGGTGACTTAAAGGAACATGCCCATCAAGGCTGAAAAGTTTAGATCTACAAGTAGGACATGAAGTATACCTGCTCGGGGTTTTAGGTTTTCATCCATGCATGGCACTAGTCCACCACACTGCCTTTTTGTCAGAGATTGGTGATCTGGGAACTCTATTTACTTGCTTGGTTGTAATGCAGAATAAGTGTTCCAAACAATGACCTTTTGAGACACTTTGCTGACATTCTGATGGCTCATTGTCCTGGAATATGTTCCGCCCTGGTGTAAAGGAATTATTTACTCTCTTGGCGGACCATACAATATATTAGATTCGGAATCTGTGTAAATGCTTCATTTCCCATATTTGGGTTTATTGGCAGATTTGAGTACCTTTTTTCTGTTGCTTTTTTACACTTAGGGCTGATGAATGGGGCGGTATGATGACCACATCTGCCAGTAAATATGGTCACCATACACCTGATATAAGGGGGGAAGGGGTTAGAGAAATGGGAGGGCGAATGGATGGGGGAGAGAATGGGTATGGAAAGGGAACCAACTGTCAATTAAATGGATTAAGATTATAATACTGAGGAAGTCAAAATGGTATATAACATCAGACAATGCTGCTCCTTTTCTCGATTATTATTCTTCCCTGTGATGTTGTTTTATATGGTGTATACAAATGTGAGATAAGTGCATTAGTATAATGGAAACTGAAATGCAAATATAATATGTATGATTGGAAAAACTATAAAGAGATATTAAACACACCATACATCCTGATTCTGTTGTCCACCATGTACTGTAATTCACTTCCAATAACAAGGGTCCTATAGACATGGTCGTGTATATGCTTTGTCAATCTGTGAATGATTTGGTCACCTGACCAATAGAATAGCAGAAAAATGATGATGTACAGGAAGGAAATGGGAAGGAAATACATATTGTAGATGCATCGTTATTTACACTCTGTATATTTTTGGAGTCTAATCCTCCTGGACAGATGTTTATTGTTCAAATTGTACTTTTGCACTATACTCCGTATAATCTAATTCAGTATTGTTTTTTGAAGACTTATGAGATTCACATGATTCACACATGGTTATTGGGAATTACTTTTTTATTATCTAACCTGATGATATGTGGTAAAGGAGGACTACTGGAACAGTAAAATATACTGTTCCCAATAGTTAGAGCCAGTGTGTGACACAAGATCAAGAACTGAGTGATCACAAACCGCTGATCGTTCAGCTCACAGCTTCTCCCTGCAGAGAGTAGTGACTGTCAATTACTACCCGCCGCAGGGATTCCCCCTTCCTTCTCTTTTCCTCCACCGATCATTGAAGTAGCAGAGAGGGGAGGGGGTGGGCACAACTGGCTCTGCCTCTAGAGAGTCAGAGCCAGCTGTCAATCAGGTAGCTGGGTGGATCTTGACAATATTGTCCGTATCTTTCCAGGTTACAGCACGGTTTTACACTGTCAGCGTACAGCAGGCGGACTTTGGGTCACAGCAATACATTAGTAATTGTGCTTGTGTTACCCAAAAAAGAACTATAGCCCAGAAAAAGGTTGTGTCTATAGTTCTCTTTTAAAGTATCAAAAAAGGAATCTTGAGAAAAACTTTCAAATATAAATGTAGGCATTCTGGCTGTGCACTGACTTGTACTAGCTGGGGTACATGTCATTGGTACTGTGGACGTTACATTCAGGAAGATGTCACAATGCAGAAGCCATCAATCCCTTTAACATTCCATTTTTTTCCCCTTTAGTTTGCTGAGCCCCAGAGATCTCCCTCTGCATTTGCTGCCATATACTCTAAAGGAGGAATTCCATGCCGGTAAATTCAGTATTTTATTTCTTCATATGATAGACTTCTGCTTTCCAAAACCCAACATGGGTATTTTCAGTTATAGGTGCACATTTGTGACTGGGGTCATTCTTTTTACAAAGAATGGCTCTTATAAATGAAATCATTCATGCTTAATGCAATTTATTTAATTTTTTCTTTGCTATTTTTGTATATGTTTTCAGGTTTGAGGTTGTGTTTATTCAACTTTATTTTTTGTTTACGTTTTTACATTTTAGTTCTCCATTCGGTCCTCCTCTGCTGATTGACAGCAGGCAGTGGGCAAGTGCAATAGCCAGCCTGCTATTGCATTTTAAAATGTCCAATAGCGGCCTGGGTATGGCTCCCTGCCTCTAGATGGAGAGGAGGAACGGGGCGGCAGCAGGGGCACAGCCGGTGAGGGTGGAGGGTGGTTAGCGGAGGCAAGGGGGCAGAGGAGGAACGGGGCAGCAGCAGAGGTAAGGGGGGCAGCGGGGGAATGCAGTCACATTGATATCTCCTCCCCGCTGGTGCCGGCTCCAGTGGTCTGTGTCCCCGCTGCCTCTGCTGATACAGGTGGGGAGAGCAGCGGGGATTGAAAGGGACATAGACCGCTGCAGCCAGCACCAGCGGGGAGGAGAATGCTGGAGCAGAGCTGCGGCAACTAATCGAAAATCAACTAATTGATGATGAGAATTGTTGCCAACGATTCTCATTATCGATTATAATTGATTTAATCAATTAGTTGTTGCAGCCCTAATTAGTTCCTACTTTCCCTATTTTATGTCCTGCTTGGGTATCCTTTTATATCAAAAGCATCATGTCAATGAAAGAGATGTGGCTTTACCTGAAGGGGCAGAGCTTTACAGAGCTGCAAATTCAGTAAACTTAGGAAATGTCATTTGACAAGGGTGGTTCAGCATATATTGAACAGGACTTTAGTGTAGCTCCAGCCATGGACTGCAGTAGAAGGACTCTGACATAATGTGTCATGCTTCATACACAGCTGTGTTTTAGCAGACATGTATTGTACTGCAAGTTCAGGTCAGGCAACGTGGGTGTGAAGGATGAGGACAGGGGAAGTAGATGCTGTCTATAGATTCACAGTAATCACAGTTTTTGGATAATTTTGAATTGTCATGTCATTCAGGGTTTTTTTGTGTCTTTGTTGCAGAGATTTCCCTTTTTACTTTCTGTTCACACAGGAAGTGAGGAGAATTTTCCCAACTGAAACATACAGCAATAAAAACCTGAAAGAGATCTCAGCCCTTTCCTACCAACTAAAAGAAGCATTTTTACTTCTGTGCCTCATTAGGGAGATATCTCTCACTTCCTGTTCCAATGACCTACATTAGGCCCATACACAAGGGCACCAAAATGGGAGCACAGTAACATTGCTAATGGCTGTCATGCTCCCTAAAGCTTGTTCAGGAACTACAGTCTGATTGTAAAATTGATGACGGTTAGCTAGAATGGTTGAAACCTGAGAATACCTTACAGCTGCTGTATGTGTGCTTCATTTGTGTATGGAGAGTTGGCCATTTAATCTGTACAGCCCCGATCACGGGAGTGCTTTCCACCTTTCAGGCTGGTCCATGGCTCTGTGAAACACAAGCTGCAGTGGGAGCGTCCTCCACAAACAATACCTTTTGACCCTCTACTCATCAACTTAGCCGAGGTAATTTCTCTTCTCTTCATTCCTGCAGATTCTTGCGATAATAATTCCATGTGGCTGCGGATGGCTGCGGCCGCTCAGCCTCTACAGAGCAATGACAGGCTGACAGCAGGCCACATGTGTTTGCATGTAATCGCACATGGAGCGATTACCTGTGCTTAGAGATAGATGATTGCCCCTGGACACAAGCTATTTGCATACAGAGGCGATTATTTGTGACATTTCAATAATGTTAGAAAAAAACAGTGCATTGCGTTGTAACAAAACAGCGATTTGTCCCCCTACTGCCCGTACACAGCCTGTGCGCTAAGACGCCTTGTTTTAGTATGCGGCCTGGTGTAAAAGAACCCATAGACTAATGTGAAAGTCATACAAGGCTTAGTATACATATTCCCCTAAAATGAAGAGACTGGATTTATGACAACTATGTTTATTATTATTGCTTAATTGTCTTGAAAACTGGGGGGCATGGTCAGAAAAAGCAATTATCGTGATCTCATCTGTATAATGATATTGTACATAGTCATTATTTTGGAGATATATATATCTTGTTATTTTTCTTATTCGTATTCTTCTGTCACCTGGTTGAGGGTTGTATAGAAGAGTCATGACTTGCACCATTTTGCAGAGCTGTTCAACAAACAGAAACAAGTGCGGTGGGTCCTTCATAGAGGTTATTAGGCATATACCGTATTTTTCCGTGTATAAGACGCTACTTTTTCATAAAAATCTTTATCTAAAAATAGAGCTGCGTCTTATACATGGGGGTCGCGGTTTTGAAAGTGCTGATACCACTGAAAACTATCCTCACGGAGTGCAGAGACAAGATAACAGTTCTCCTCCAGTCATAAATCTTTTGAACCTGACGTGAGCTGTTGCTGGGGAGATCGTGTAGGCAGTGCCCAGAGCGGTAACGTCCGAGCATTCTGTGACCATAAAAATGTCAGAAAGTGAAGAACAACCTGTAAACTCTCTAAACTCATGGTATGGTGTCAAACAAGAGGTGATTGTGAAGTCCTTCAAGAAATGTGGAATCAGCAAAGCCATGGACGGAACTGAGGATGATCTTGTATAAATAGACAGTGACTCAGCAGACAGCAGTGATGCAGCAGAAGTTGAAGACACTGATATGTTTGAAGCTAAAAGTGATGACAAAACCAGTGATGCAACAGAGGCTGAATAAAGTGATTGGCTCAGAGGTAAGTGTGATGCATAATATCATTTAAAATATTGATTTCTGAATTTTGGGTAAGAAAAGTTGGGGGCGTCTTATACATGGGGGCGTCTTATAGACGGAAAAATACGGTAACTGATCAAACCATTGAATTGCCATCTCTAAATAGTGAATGGGCAAAATAAAGTAGGCCTGGGAACATTCGCTGTATTTGAAAGTGAACCTGTGACCGGATCATGCAAACTAAGAGGGTTATTCAGAGAAGGGTGAAGAGTTTGGACAAGGCAGGAGAAGTGAACAATCTAGGACAACATAGCTGAACTGGAAAGTGAGCTGAATTGGAGTATTTTTTTTCAATCAGCTCTGTTGTCCTAGATTGTTCACTTCTCCTGCTTTCTCCAAACTCTTCACTATTTTGTGAATAACCCTGTAAATCATTTGCTACCCCTACACTGCAAGGGGTTCTTTTTGTCTAGGTTTAGAAGAAAGAAAAAAAAAAGTTATACTCAACTTATGCTCTGAGCCGGCTTGCTCTCAGACAGGTGCTTCTAGCCTCTCTCCCCCTGTTTCTATACACGGTGTATAGATGCGAGGACGCCAATGAAAATTCCAATGCTGCAGCGTAGGGAAAGACTGGCTGGAGGGTGCACAGTGACAGCTGGCTGCCTCGCTCAGAGCTAGTGAGTATAACTTTTGAAGCAAGACAAAAGCATGCACTTAACCCTTGCAATGCAGGGCCCTCCTGTAGCCCTACTGCAAGGATTGGGAAAAGATTTTCCTGCTGTTCTTTAACCCCTTCATGACTGAGCGTGTTTTTAGTTTCTGTTCATAAATGACTGACACATTTTTTTTTTTTTGAAATTTTTGCTGTGTAATTCTTCCACGTCAGTAATCTACTTTCTTACAAAGTGCACCCACACATATTATTATATATTGTTTTTTAGAGGACAGATAGGGCTATATATTTATATCACATATGTGTACCTAACGCCTCACTTAGGACAAATAAAATATAAAAAAGAGGAACAAAAATAGAAAAGAAAACACCTCTTCCCCAGTTTTGATTTTGTAGTATTTTTTTTAGAAAAATAGCACAGCTAAAAGAAATTTAATTAAATACATTCATTTATTAATCCTTTATATGGAAAAACCTCATATTCCTAGGATTTTAGAACATTTTCTGTACTTCTCAGCCTAAAACCTAACATTTTAATCCTTTTTCTTTTTTTTTCTCTTAAACCTAAAAGTGGTCACCTGGCATACAATGTCACCGTCACTAAGTGTCACACTTAGTGACAACGACATACTTTGAACATCACTGTCAGGGGGTTAAATAAGAAAAACCCTTAGGGTGAAAAATCTGCAGCCTAAGCTGCAAATTTCTGTTGTAATGGGTTGATTTTTTTTATTAATGATAGTATAAAAATATATTTAAATATATCATTTTTATTTTGTTACATTTATTTTTTTTTACACTTTTTTTTCACAATTTTTAAAAACATTTTTTTTACATTTTTATTTAATTATATCAAGCAGTCATTGTGAACTAATCTCACTGTTACTGTTTGATCATTTCATTTAATTTTTGGTTATTAGGCTGCGTCAAACTTAAAGTGACATTAAACCCTCAGATTTTTTAACATAAACCAATACTGTAATGTGTGCCTTCCTGTAATCCATGGTAGTTTCCCTTCTCTTTGCTGCTCTTCCTTTTAAATCCTCATGTCTTCTCATGCTTGGGGAGAACTTCCCTTTGCAGCTGAGTGCCTCTTCCTGTAGTGCTGGCTCAGGTTGCAAACCAACACACAGACACCATGTATCCATTTCAGAGACTAGGCAGTCTGCTGCAAAACAGAAGTTCTGCCCAGCATGAGAACAGATACAGATTTAAAAGGAAGAGCAGCAAAGAGAAGGGGAAACAACCATGTATTACAGTAAGGCACATATTACAGTATTGTTTTATGGTAAAAAATCTGAGGGTTTAATGTCACTTTAAGAACTGCCAAAAATAACCTTAGTGACACTGATCCTGCAGCATTTCAGGATCAGATGTCACGAAAGGTTTTCTGATCGTTCCAACAACAATCATAAAACCTGCAACATTGTATCAGCAATAAAAAAAACATGCATCAAAATGTTTCTATTGCTGAAAGTTTAGAAAAAAACAAAGCCGGTATACATCGGGATTTCCCGATCTTTTCCGGCTGTCAGTGAGAGCAGTAAATGCCGCTCTGCTCTTACTGCCAGGCACCCGATTGGGTGTCTGAGAAAGCTTAACTGTTTCATTAATGGATGCCTCAATACTGATTCTCAGCGGTAACAAGCCTTACAGAACCGCAAATAGCTCATCGCGTACAGTGTACGTGATGAGTCATTTGGGCACTTCGTGGCGGGACGTACAGTGTACGTCTCCCGTCACAAGGGGGTTAAAAGGATGTGCAGCAGCCGATGTAAGCCTTGTGGCAGCAAAAGGGTTGAATTGCAATGCAGTAAGTAAATATCGCCCTTTTAGTTTGCAGTGGTATATTACTCTATACCTGACTTCCATCTTGAGATGCTGGCTGCTTCTTTGCTGTCTCTGACTTTAGGATGTTCAGACACTGACCTGCAACAAGAATGCAAATAATGGAAGTCAGACTGAAAACAAACTGCTGATATGCATACTTGTTCCAGGTCAGCAACTTCTAAACTACTGAAGCCATTGGATCAGTATGACAGCCAAAATAATGCATTTTTTTTTTTTTACAAGGGTAGGTTAGTTGTGGAAACGTCTCTTCCTCTTCAGTAGAGGATCCTTTTATTGGGTTTTTTATGGTTTATATCATTTTATTCTTCTTCAGATCACGCCATTAGACAGCTGCACTCTTGAACTAATGTTAATACTTTAAAAACATGACCGTTTTCTTTTTCAGGGTCATTTTTCAATGCCATCTATAAGATTTCTGATCATTTATACCAGAATGCCTCATCTTCAGCGTGTCCCGTAAATTATGTGTAAACGATAGAGATCACCATTATGTCACACTGAAATACTTAATAAAATGATTGATTGTCATTTAGCATCAAAGTATATAGTAACATCTGTCAGAGATTTTAATTGGAAGAAAGCTTCTCCTGGTGTAATTATTTTCAGATGTCTCGGCCACGACTGAGATTAATCATAACCCATCACAGTCATTTTTATTTATTTGTCACTTGCTACATTGTCTGGCCAGGCTTTGGCTCATGTGTGCCCTTCTGGTCAACGAGAGGAATTGAATTAGGGCTTATTAGTCTTTTGTTCCCTGTAGAATGTTGTACACTGCTTGGTGACCTGTTAGTTTTAAATCAATTTACTGTTTAATGTGCCACACAGGTTTCCAGTACATATTGACTGTGAACTGCATAGGTTACATTCAGCTACATATGAAGGAGAAAATATCAAATGGATGAGACAGAGAATAATCATCTAAAAGGGAAACAATGGCATATTACCCATGATGAACACTCTACTATTGCAGTGTTTAATTTGAAGTATGTGCTGTAACTTATGGCAAACTTCCTTTTTTTATTTAAAGAGAGACCTTGACCCCAGATTGTTCTTTTAAAAATCGATTTTCTGACAGCAAAAGGTCTCCTTTTGAACTGGAGAATGACCTCAATCTTGGTCATCGTGGATGTGACGGCATTGGCGCCAGCAGACAGAGCTGCTACTCCAGTGACACTGTGTATTAATGTCACTGCTGGCTCTTCTCTGTGTGTGCGCGCCCCCTGACAGTTTCAGCAGTGCCATGTGAGCCATTGCAAGGAAGTGCTGGGTTGGGAATTCCCCTCTTAGACAGTTGTCGCCAAAACAGGTGTCCCCAGTAGAAGAGATGGGATTTTCCCTCACTTTCTGTCTTGATGATAACGGTCACCAGTATAAATAATGGGATGAACCTTCCTTACAAGTACTAATGCATGTATCCCATCGCACTCCTGATTGGTATATCCCAATGGTGGGTGCTGCAGTGACGAGCGGATGGCGCCGCAATCCCAAGTTATCACAACATAGAAGAGTCACTCGCCAAGCTATCGTGATACAACTTCATCCTTTATTATTGCATGTCAAACATACCATAAAGCAAACAACATTTTGGGGCCACAAAGGGTCCCTTCATCAGGCACACAATGTTATGCCTGATCACATTGTTGCCTGATGAAAGGACACTTTGTGGCTCCAAAATATCGTACTTGCCCAAATGCTCTTACCGGAATTTTTGGTCAGAGGGCGATTTCCTCTGACCAGCATTGCCGTGAAAAAACATGAAGCCAGCTTCCCAGCCAATCAGGAAGCCGTGCGGCGGGTAATGACTTGCGGCCCAGCTTCCTGATTGGCTGGGAAGCTGGCTTCCCAGCCAATCAGCATGGAGCTGGCTTCCCTGCCTATCAGGAAGCTGGGCGGTGGGTAATTACCCACCCCCCGGCTTCCTGATTAGCTAGGAAGCTGGCTCCATGCTGTTTGGCCAGCTTGATGGTGATTGGCCGGGAAGCCAACTCCATGCTAGCGGAATAACCGGTACTTGGTATCTGCGAGTACAGAGAGATAAATATTGGTGCATCCCTAATAATTACAAATGAAAGATATAAACAAGGTTATTTAAAAGGTTAAGACACATTGATACTACTTGACTCAAGCCAATCTCTTTTCACATGTATAGTAAAAGAATAATTGAACAAACTATACATTTCCATTTTATGTTCTGTAGATCTGCAATACAGAGATAAAAGCAAAACCTAAAGTAAGGCTAGATCTGTATCGGGCTCAGGCGCATTCTAGTACTATATACAGGGTTATTCACAAAAGGGTGAAGAGTTTGGAGAAGGCAGGAGAAGTGAACAATCTAGGACAACAGAGCTGAACTGGAAAGTGAGCTGAATTGGAGAATTGTGTCCAAATCAGCTATGTTGTCCTAGATTGTTCACTTCTCCTGCCTTCTCCAAACCCTTCACTCTTTTGCAAATAACTCTGTTATTAACTTTAAATTAGCCAATAAAGGGTATCACTTAATCACCTAGCTTTCTGCATTAATTGATGGCTTCAATAGTACAACACTCTATTACTACTCTACTTTCAAAAAACTAGAATGACATTCTTGAGTATGTATTTGGCCACTGAGCTTCTAGCATTTCACAGTTGAATAGAAAGGGGTGAGATTTAGCACCTGACTTAATTTGAAAAGAACTGCATAGTTCGTTTTTTTTTTTTTGTTTTGTTTTTTATTGGGAGGGTGGTCTTGTTTTTTAAAGGAGAACTATGTGGTTACGTCTTTTCCCCATAATTCTCCTTAGGGTAACGGGAGGACACAAACTAGCGTCCTCCCGTTACCCTAAGCTCAGTTTACTGAGACGCCGCAGCCGGAGCGGATCCCGACATCGATGTCAAGATCCGCCCAGCTGCGTGAGTGAAAGCTGGCTCTGCCTATCTAGAGGCAGAGCCAGCTGTACCCGCCCCCTCCCCCATCCAGTCAGCGCTGGCGGATCAGAGCGGGGAGGGGGGAATCCAGCCCCTTCCTGTCACGGCAGAGAGCCGTGACAGGATCGAGAGGTGAGCGAACGCCGGTATCAGTTCGCTCACCTCCCGATCTACTGAGCCGACCTGCACAATAGGCTAATCGTCATTTTCGCACGTAGGTGCACCCGACGCATATCTGCATGTGTATGTGGGGGGCGGGGACTTAATAAAAATGTTTTCTTTTTACATTTTTTTTATGCTTTATCTTTTTTATGATTTTTTTAATTTTTGTATTACTTTTTTTTTTTTTTACACACAACTTTATTGCTATTACATGTGGGACTAAGAAGCCCCCTATGTGATAGCCAATTTACATGACAGGTCCTCTTTATGGAGGCATCAGGGGTCTCCAAGACCTCTAATGTCACCTAGGGACCCCCAGAGAAGCTGATGAAGCAGAGGTCTGCTTCATCAGCTTCTGTAGCTGGAGAGTGACACTGAATGCAGGAAGTGATGTAATATACATCACTTCCTGCATTCGGGGACTGAGAGGAGATCAAAGGGAGTTCGTATAATGATCTCCCTTTGATCTCCTGTCACAGAGCCGTGGCGGTCGCGGCCGCATCGGGCACAGCGGATCTCGGGACCGCCAACGGCAGTGACAGCTGCTAATACAAACGATTGAGCGTCTCTAGAGACGCCCGATCGCTTGACTGTAAAGCTCCCGGCCGGCCGTGTAATTACAATGGCCGGCCGGAAGCTGCTCGTCGGGCTCCACCGTCCTCTCGTCACAGACAAGCGGACGAGTGGATTTTTCAAGCCCTGTGCATAAAATATGTTAAATTCACAGTTTTTAAAAAAAATGAATGCCAATTTTAGTACAATGATTGACATTTTAAGCTTCCAGAAAAGTGTTTTATGTGTAAACCACCACCTGGAAAAAAAAGCCTAAAAATGTAATATTATTGTGTGCACACATTCTTGTGGAGGTGTTCCGTTGTTTGCTTTGATCTTATTTGAAAATCACTGAGCTTTAGAAACGTATTTGCTGTTTGTCAGTTGATGGGATTCATATTTACTCTAGTAAGCACATTTTCTTCTTCTTTCTTTTGTTCGTGTGACAGGGTCTTAGAGAGACGAGACATCCTTACACATTCGTTTCACAAGAGGGATTTAAGGAGTTATTGATGGTTCCCGGGGCTGCAGAAAAAGCCTTGCCCTTATTACCCAATCTGGCAGCTGCATTGAAGGGTGCCCTTGTATGTATACTTTTATATATTATCTATCATACATCAGTTCTACAAATAGGTTTATTTTCTGTAAAAGAAAAAGACAACTCAGATTTTCATGTTTATTATTTCTTATTTAACAGACAAAAGTGTTTTGTCACCCTTCCCCATGATGTCTAAAACCCCCCCAACAAAAAAGACTAGAGTTTTTATGTTATTTTTTTATTTTATGTCTAGGTTTTTTTTTATCTGCAGATGTTTCCGGCCACCTCTTGATGATTAAACAGTAGTTGTATGCAGTGCGCCCCAAGTGCTATTGCAGTTTAATGAATTGGGACCTATGGCACAGGACTTATAGGGACATCTTTTAGCAACCAGTTTCTCTTTATTTTTATTGAAGAGCTCTTTAACTTGCCTATATTGGTAACATGCTACTGAGTTACTCTCAGTTCTGTGATTTTTGGTACTGCTTTAAAATGTGAAGTAATGCTATCTCGATTGTCAGGTCCATTCAGATGGTGGCGTGTTTGAACGAGGTTTGAATGGCTTGGTACAGCTAAGTGCTCTTGTTGGACCGGCATTAAACGTTCATCTGAAGAATCTGCTCACCAGTGTAAGTTATGAAAGTTACTAGTTAAACATTTCTTGAAGAAGACTTTGATTAGATAGGTCTGAGGGGGGTAGGATTGTAAATATCACTCTGCATCCCTTCCACTAATCATAATAGAAGTCACCAGCACTCGATATGTGCAAGAAGTAAAGCACTTTTTATTAAATTGTCACATGCGTCATACAGCCAACGTTTCGGGGCGACTTTGTGACCTAGGTCAAGCCGACTTAGTGACCTAGGTCACTATGTCGCCCAGAAGAAGGGACCCTGCGTGGCCCTGAAACGTTGGCTGTATGACGCAGGAGGCAATTTTAATAAAAAGTGCTTTACTTCTTGCACATATCAGCGAGTGCTGGTGACTTCTATTATGGACTGTATCTGACACGGCGCCATCCATGCTGTCACTTCAAGCACCAACCTTTCAACAAGGTCTGTACGCTGTATGGAGTGCAGGTGATTTCGTATTATCGATTCCTTTCACTGATCAGTTATGAAATCTGTACTGTGTATACACCGACCTCCTGGACATTTCTCATGCAATCCTATCTTACAGTCATAGCAAGGGGGAGATGGAAACTTCACATGCATAGAAAACTTTCATCTGCTTAAATATGGACCTAAATGTAGGACCTGATTTACACACTTCCCTCCAAGTAAGCCCTATAAGTGGACTTTTTATGAGATTTAGTATTTCCAACAATCAAAAAGTAATAATTTTTTAGCCAACTTCTATGTGATTTGAGTTGCTGGAAGATTTATGGTTTTGATGTTTTCATGGGCAATGTCTGCTTCTTAAGGATGGATAATCGGGTATTTCTATATAGCTATTGCTACCCCAGCCAGTATGCACAGCATCCTCTCTCTACTTTTTAAAATACTTTCAACACTGTCAAGCGGTTGCAAAATAAGGTCGGAGAACGCCAAGGAGGGAAAATGAAGCTGTCACATGCTGTGGCCCCAAGGGCTTTCTTGGCCTTATTTTTCAGCTTCTTGATGTTGTTAGAGGTATTTTGGTCTAGATAGAGGATGCTGGGCAGACTGGTTGGGAAAAGCAATAGTTGTGCAATAAATTGCACTTGTTACCAGTAATCTGGAGATACTTGATTATCTGTTCTGAAAAAGTGGGCAGTGTCTGCAAAACATGGCGACACTCACTTTCAGCAGGCAAGTCAAGCCAAACATTCTCTGTGGATATCTAAGTTGGTAAAAACGATTAAAGAACAACTCCGGGATACATTTAATTAACCCTTGCAGTGAGGCTGCTCCCACACTGCAAGGATTAAAGGGGTTCTAAACCCTCCGTTTTTTTTGCCTATATCTACTGCTAGCAAGCAGTAGATATAGGCAAAAAAAAATTTAAAAAACAAACCCGTTTTAACAGCGGTTTAAACTTACCTTGTTTTCGCTGCGCGCTCCCGTCCGAGAAAACGAAACTGCTCGGGCGGCCCCAAAGAATCTTGGGGCGGGCGCATGCGCAGTTCGGATTCTCGGCCAGGAGACTAGCAGAGACGCAAGGTAAGTCTATGGACGCGTGCACCCGCATGCAGACATCGTGGGACAGGAGGTGCCTGCAAGGACAGAGGAGTCAGCACTGGATCGGAGAGCCAGATGAAAACATCGGGAAAGATCGGATTAAGAGACGTCATTTAAGGTAAGTCCTAACATTAACATTTGGGGGAGGGGAAAAAAATGTATCCTTTAATGTCACTTGAACTGCTCATTTTTGTCTAGGGACTAAAATTTAAAAAGTTATACTCACTTGATACTCTGAGGCGGCTAGGTGTCACAGCACTACCTCCAGCTTCCCCTCTCCTTCACTTAAGTGATGGTATGTCCCTCAGCAACCTCACATCCACTATACTGTGTATAGAACGTGATGACTCGGGGACCTGAGACCGCTGCAGCAGGGGGAGCAAGGCTCCAGGGATCAGTCTAAGAACAAGTCCCTAGATGAAAACGAGCAGGGGTAGCCCCCCCCCCCCCGAGTTCTTCTTTAACCAGTTGACATCCGCGGTGTTAAACCCCCTTCCCATCCAGGCCATTTTCCAGTGTTCAGCGCTGCGGTACTTTGACTGACATTTATTCCGTCATGCAACGCTGTACTGAAATTAATTTTATACCATTTTTTTGGGGACAGATAGCGCTTTCTTCTGGTGGTATTTATTCACCACTGGGGTTTTTTTATTTTTTACTATATTAAGGAAAAATAAAACAGTTTCCCCTATATTAAATGATAAAACATTTATTATTACCCAATTTTTTGTTAAAATATAAAAGACGGGGTCACGTCGGGTAAAAAGACACCAAAAATGTCAAGCCTTAAAATTGCGTGCGCGTGCGAAACCTCAAAAAACGATAATACCCAAAATTGGCCCTAGGCGACGCTTTAAAAGCTGTTACCACTCATCAGTTTAGTGTTATCAGTGATTGATGGCCCTAAAATGATTGCTCTCACTGCGGCGTTCGCGGCGATATGTAACGTGTGTAGCGCAATTGTCGTTTTTGCGCGCTGGGGCACCGGACGCGTATTTACGTTTATGTCTGCGTAAACGTGGGGGTGGGGGAGTTAAACATTTTGGAGGGGTTTCACTTTTTTTTATATGTGACTTTTATTTTATACATTTATTTATTTTTACATTTATTTTTTTTTCTATTTTATTTTTTTATTTATATATATTTTTTTGCACTTATTGTACAACGGGTGTTTGCATTGGTCGGGTCTTTTCTGCCCGTGCGCGCCCGCGAGCAGAAAAAAAATTCCGCCTGGAGACGGCAATCCGCCAATGCTGCAGTGCCGTCCGTCCGTTTTTTTACAACGGGCGGACGGCAACTAGTTAAATCTAGTGCATAATGGATATAGATATAAGGATGGATAAGAAGTAAAATGTTTAAATACACAATCTCCTCTTTTCTAAGATTATCATCAGAGAGATATGCCATCACTTTCTCCATGGCATCACTGCTTGTGGCACCCTGTCACCGGGACATGGAGTGGGAGGAAATTTCACAAAGGGAAACACAGACATATATGAAAACCTGACACAGATCTGACCTTAGAAGAACGGGTGGGAGTTGTGCTTTAATAATAATTATTCTTACTGCTTTGTAGGATAGTTTGCTGGTTGCGGCTTTTCTTTACAGGTATATAAACATGTCGGCAAGCTGAATTTCTGCTGTAGTGTCCCTTTTAAATGTTGTCAGTGAGCACATAAAGGAGGTCTGAGATTTTTCTTTTAGGATTTGCGTTTCATTTTTGTATTTTTTTTTTTTCCATAGCTCTCTAAAAGACTAATGGACAAAAAGTATAAAGATTCGGTCACAAGTGCTTTACAGCAATTGGAGCATTGTGGTGGGAAGGTAAGTTTTGATACTACATTATAAATATGAAGGTGTGCATTAAAGAAAGATTATGAGCTCAAATAGCAGCCCTAAAATTACAGAACTCTGCTCTAAAGCACTGAGCAGTGAATTATTTGCAGTTGTATTACATTGGATGTGTACTTTAATCAATAGGTTACATGCTGGCAATTATACTATTTTGTTGAGTAAAAAAAAAAAATTCAGCTTTTGTGCCCCCAAAAATGCTTCCAAGCTCCCTCATGTCACTTAGTAGCACCCTAGATCACATGGCTGTGTCTACCATTACCGATATGGATATTCCACATGATTAGAGATTGCAGAGTCTGTTTTCAATCAGACAACTGTTGTCTGGAAGACATGCAGTGAGCAGAGAGAGTTGTCAAAGCCCAGTCCTTCTGATGAACAGGAATGCAGCCTACGTATGGCTACATATGGTGGCCTCCATGCACTGATATAATTATAGACCATAACAAGTTGTTTCTTGTTTTGTTTACCATAACACGCAATAAGATTAAACTAGAATATGTTACCTAAAACATTTAAATGTATAATTCATATTAAGGTTTGGCTATTCAATATTGGTGTCTGCAAATTATATTTTAACAAAGTCCATTTACAAAAACAACAAAATGAAAAATTATTAAGTTTATGATCTCTGAATATAGCCAACTAAAACATTTACCCACTAAAAGTGAATCAGTGCTTAAAGGAGAACTATGGGGTTAAGGCTTTTCCCCATAGTTCTCCTTGGGGTAAGGGGAGGACACAAACTAGCGTCCTCCCGTCACCCTAGGCTCAGTATACCGCAAGCTGCTGCTCGCGGTATACTGAGACGCTGAAGCGGATCCCAACAATTGTGCTGGGATCCGCCCAGCTGCGTGACTGACAGCTGGCTCTGCCTACCTAGAGGCAGAGAAAGCTGTACCCGCCCCCTCCCCCGTCCTTTCCGCCAGTCAGCGCTGGAGGATCAGAGCGGGGAGGGGGGAATCCAGCCCCTCCCCTGTCACGGCAGAGAGCCGTGACAGGATCGGGAGGGGAGCGAACAGTTACCGGCGTTACCTGATCTACTGAGCCGACCTGTGACAGTCTCATTGTCACAGGTCGGCTAGAACTATGAAGTGAGTGAAAAGCACTCACCTCATAGTTCTCCTTTAACTTACAATACAAATGACAGGTTCACTTTAATGTCTTAACCCTCCCCAAAATAAAGGGAAAAGAACAGGCACACATAGGGATCCTTTCTTAAAAAGTCATAAAAGCAGCTCCAGCAAAATGCAAAGATGTTTCAGTCCACCAAGGGACCTTAATCATAGCCAAGATCTCTTGGTGGATTGAAACATGTTAGCAATTTTTGGAGCTGCTTTTATGCCTTTTCAATAGAGGGACGCCATTAAGAGGATTCCTACGAGTGCCAGCTCGTTTCCCTTTATTTTGCCAATTTGGGTTTGGCAGAGGCTTACGCTGAGCACCTTGGTTCCCATATTGGGTCTGAGAAGGTAGAGCGGCTTTACCCTCCACGACTACATATACAAACCTTTCCTTCACCCCTTCTCCAACCTCCTAGATCTATTCAGCAACCAAGAGCAAAGAGAGGAAGCCCTTAGTAAGTTCCTGATCACTCCAGTCAGAGCTTACACGGGGTTGAGGACTCACCCTGCCCCCATGTGACAGTGCTGGGCCAATCCGTAATCACCAACTCTGTTACATGGAGTGAGTCACATGCTCATCTATACCTCTGGGGATTTTCTTTGCTTCTGGTGCTGAACAGAGTGGCAGATCCCGGACTGGACAGGTGCTGCGTGTAATTAGGTCCGGGTGTCCACACTTGGACCCAGACAAGTGTAAAGGTGCCCATACACCTTACGATTACCTGGACGAAATGCGGTAATTGATTTGTCGTATTTTCGTTTGCGCATGCGCAGTGTAGATCGTACGACTTTTGACGGACGGAAACGCCAGCAACCTTACGACAATCGTACGATCGAGCAAAGTTTTCAAACATGCTTGACCGTCAAAAGTCGTACGATTGTACAGTAATGTCGGTCGGACACTGCAATGCACACATACGATTATCGGACGAAGTCGATCGCATACGAAAATCGTCCGATAATCGTAAGGTGTATGGGCACCTTAAGTCTAATTGCAGACACCCAGGCCTGCTTAAATGTGCAGGTTCGGGTGTGCGCGTGACGGCATGTAACTGCGTGCACCTGCGTCCTCCCATAGAAAAGCACAGGCTGTTGCATGCAATTACACGCAGCACTTGTCCCTTCCGGGATCGTTTTTTTATGGGTGTGCATGCTATACAGACTTGTACATCTGTCTCAATGAGCCCTTAAGATCCAAAAGAGGGCAATTGACTCACTCAGTAGTTCCAGACACCTTCACAAGCTCTGTCCGTGCTCCTGTCACCACTTTGACAGCGTATATAAAAGCAGAACACTTCATGCTTTCAATGTTTTATAGCAACTTCCTTCTGGCATGTGAAGAAGGAAGAGTGGTCACACACAGGAACAACATTTAAGTTTACACACTTGTACTTGGCAGGAGCATAGGGCAGTGTTTTTATTTCATTTATTTTATTTAAAAAATAAATCTGAGGTTTTTTTTAGATATAAATTGGGACCAGTGTTGCTTTTTTAGTTACTTTAATGTATTTTGTTTCTTGTTTGGCAACTGAATTTGGTATTGTTTTCTTTTCAAAGGAAAGCCTAACGATAATCAAATCAAAAATTCCAACGTACTGCTCCATATACAGCTGAACATGCATGGAAACACTTGTGAGCATCGACTTTACATTTTAAGAAATGAAAGAATACACTGGCCTTTCCTATGGAGATATGAACATGGGCCCCAAAACCTAACCGAAGGTGGCCAAGTTCCCCTGTGTGCAATATTTGTTTTCTGTGTGGACTGATGTGTCTGAAAATATATACTGAAATATTACTATAAAAAAGAACTGGTGAAGTGGCTTCTTTTCTGTGGGTGTGATCTGGAATGCCGGGTGCACTGACAATTTATAGGGATTAGTATTTCTCTACTTGCAGTATCATTTAATAGCGTCATTTGTCATATGCAGCTTCATCACACACTTGCAGATTCCATCTGACCTGGAGCTTGTGGCACATGTGAAGGACTTTTATACCTTTTGAGAGGGATGTCTGACTCCAAAGTGAAAAATGTTTGTATTTTTTTACTGTGACTCTTCTTTGGGTTTTAAAAGGCTCAGAGCTATGGAGATCTTTATTTGAGGAGCGTGTGGTCCCAGGTGTGCAGGCTACCAATGCCAGCACATCTAACTGACCTGGGGGTGTCATTTACTGTAATAGCTTTTGTCATAGAATATGATTCAAAGGACAGTGCAGAAAAAATGTACCGCTGATTTTCTGCCCAGGGGAAAGTGTCATATTAAAGCTGAAATCTGGGCTAAATAAATAAAGACAAGAGACATTTGTCAACGTGTTACTTACATTTTAGTCTTCTTTGTGTATGTCTTCCAGATCTGTGCAGTAATCCAGTATGAGACCACTCTCAAGCAGCAGTTTGCCTTTGCAGGAGTTTCCTGTAGTACAGACCGGTGACCGCTGCTCTCTCTCCTTGTGCAGGGTGACTGGTCTTATATCCGCCCCTTCCTGTAGCTTTCTGCAGTACCTAGTAGTGGGTGAGGTCTGTTGGGTCCCTCCCATAGCTCTGCTCTCTGCACAGGCTGTGTGCTGCATAGTGATTGCTCACCGATACTTTTACAAGGTAATATGGGGTTTGCAAAGACATTGGTGCATTTAAAGACATTAAGGAATACATTTAAATGAAAGTTATTGTGCCCAGAGTCATTGCTCATGACATTTCAGCTTTTCCTTCAGTGGTACAAGGGGCTGGTACATTTCTGCCAATGCCTCAGTGTCTAGCCCCGCCACAAGCTATGATTCTGAGTTTCTGGTGCATGTGGGAGTTTTACTGTGAGCTCTTTTTACCACTTGGGAATTCAGTGAACAGAGCTCACTGGGTTCACCAGAGAAGTAGGACTGTACTGAACCTTGTGAGGTCATCTGTCTGTACCGTTATGGAGGAATTGTCCGTAGCTGACAATGGGATAAGGTATTTAGCACCTGACAAAGCTTCCCACAGGTGCAGGAGATCAGAGCAGCTTAAATGGAGCCCTACATAATACATGACCTTCTCCTATCAGGTGATCATTTGAATCTTGTTCACTCTCCCTGTAACTTTTACAACTGAAGCTGACATAAATCCAGCCTGTCTTGTGCATTAATCTGCCCATTACATCATTTCCATAATGCTTGTTACATTAAGAGACCACGTTCCAAAACATACAGCAAGTCTACAATCCAGCATGTAACATGGGGGGAAACAAGCCAGTCATAACTTACTTAGGTCAAGTTCAGAAATGTTTTAGCATTCTTTCTATTCTGTTCCAGTACACTAGACATGAGTTCCTGTCAGTCATTACATCTACTACAGATGGTGATGTTTAATCAGAAGTACAATTTGCACCCTGTCACTCAGGATTCAGACATGGATGTAAGTAGATGGGCTGCAAATCACACTTTGGAGGGTAAACAAAGTTTTAGTGTAAGATGGCTGAGTCTCCTTAATAAAATCCACACTGATGACTGAAGGGTATATACAGTATTTAAAGTATTATATGAACTTAAATGGTTTTGTTTATTTTATGTATGGGGTGTTTTGTATAGTCCTAATCATTGCAGGTTCCCTTGTTTTGACTTTTTCAGGATCATTTAAGGGAGCTCTCCAGTTTGATGCAGAAATGTAACTTTGACCTTTCCAGGGTTTTTGCTTTACACCCCAGCGTTGCTTACGTACACCGTGCCACCCTACTGTAAAATCCTCTAGTTGTCAGTATCCTGGGAACACCTACTTCTGGACCTGTGTTCTATCAGACTTGGAATGAACTGAACTCTGAAGTATTAATAGGGTCTGATATATCCTTGCTGTATTGTTCATGGTAGAATTTGCAGAAGTGTATTGTTCTGAAGGGAATGGTTGCAGAATGCAAAGTTACTCACTATTAATTTACTAATTTATATTGAGATTATAGTCCATCACAGCATTGAGCTTGGAGTGGTGACTACTTTACAACACACACACACACACAGACCATGGGGAACAAAAGTAGCCCCCCGCCAGAAGGAAGGACAGTGTCAGCACCAATTCAGAGATGATTTGAGGATCTACGGCCGAGTGATGCATAAATAAGATACAGTATTGTTAATAGTTAAGGTTCTTGAATGCATTTTTAAGATTTAACACCTGAGTTTAGTGTCCCTTTAAATGAGCTATAGGAGCAACTCCCAATAGGCCAAAATGAAGTATAGGGGTGGGTGACAAAAGTAATCAAAGGATAATTTACAAAACCAATTTTGCTAGTGCAAAGTAGGTGGGCCAAGATGAGGAGACTGGCATTACCCCCAGAGGCTCTGGAAGCAGAGAAGGCTTATTCTAAAAGGTCATTTCCACATTTTCATGATTACTAGCAATGAGGGAATTTTGGTGCAGGGTGGGCTGGCACACTACATAAATGCTTGAATAAAAGACTACAGAATACACTCAGTTAAAAGGTTTACAAAGCTGCAGTATATTATGTGCCCCTTCTCTAATGTGGTTATTGGGTTTATTCAGTTCTCATAATCAGAACAAAGTATTCAACTTATGAAAGAAACACCCTGCTGAGATTTATTCTTTGCACATGTTTGGCCTCCATTTTTTAGTAAGATTTAAGTTTTGATATATTAAATATAAGGGAGTTAAAAAAAAAAAAAAGCTCTTCATGCTGTAACCTTTGTTGGTATTGTAATAAAATATTCAAAGGCAAAATCATTTTTATTAAGATCAGCTGCTGGAATTTGCTATACGCAAACATGTCACCTACGGTTATGTTTACATATATGACATTTTTATTGGATATGCCTTGTAGTTGTTTGAGAGGGGCAATTCCAGGCAACAGGTGAAATCAATCATTGATCTGCTGAGATTTCTAGGAAGCACTGCAGTTGTGCTAATGTTCGTCTCTCCTTTCAGGGGGGTTTTGAAGAACTGTTGTCCAGAGGAAAGAAGTACATAAAGTACACATAGATCTAAACCCTAACTGTATGACATTTCATTTTCTAATGCACTGTTTGTCATAAACTGATATGATGTGGTTTTTGTTTTTAGAAAACACTGTTTTCAGTGTTTTTACATGCAGACTCAGAGACCGAGTAATACGCAGGCATCATCAGGTGATTGGACACTGGTCAGAATTGTGAGGACATAACCTTACATAACCCCTCCCACTCCCAGGAATTCTCTTCTTTTTTTTTTTTTCTGTGTCCAAATTTGTAGACTCATTGCTGAAGTACTGGTCAGCAGAACCAGCTTGTAAAAAACAACTTGAGAGGATTCCCTGTGAGGGAGGATGTCTCTTTAGAGAAGACCTGAACACCTTTATCAAGAAGGTTATGGTGATAAGGGCACGCTCTTACCCAGCAAATGGAAACCTAAGTTTCTTCCTGGAAAACCTACCTTGTCCTCGGAAAGGAAGAATTGCTTTTTCCCTTTTCAGTTGTCCACCTCCAAGACAAAACCTGGCTCCTAATTCAGGCGCAAGCCCTGGACCCCAAATCCAACCAAACCTGGACCCAAGTCCTCTTTGCAAAAGCGGGGTGATGACTGTTGGACTTTGAGGCTGTTTGGGTTCCAAAGCTTTGGGATATGTGGGTACACTTTGTAGTTTGCCAGGGTTACAAACTGTATTTTTTTCCTAGCCCCTTTCTAGCTTTATGTCATCCAATTCCAACCTGCCCTCTTCCTCCCCCAGTGGAAAGAGGCTTTGCAGAAACTACTGACCTTTAGGAGTTATTGTCCCTGTTCCTTGGGACAAGTTCCAATGGTTTTACTCCAATCTGTTCACGGTTCCCCAAACCAAATGGCGGGTGCTTCCCATCCTGGACCTGAAATCCCTTGATGGGTTTCTGCAGGTTTTCAAATTCTGCATGGAAATTTCATGTTCAGTCATTGCCTCAGGACTGCATACCTGCACCAATGATTCCTAACACTTTGCTTTAGCCTTTCCACAACCCCACAGGTATTCAGAAAGGTGCTAGCTCCTTTTCTTCCTCTATTGCAGTCTCAGGGTGTCCACATCGTGTGATACTTGGACAGTCTCTTGTTAAAGACCTAGTCTGAACAGACACTGTAGGCTGTTGTCCAGAGAAAGATTCTAATGCTGCAGTGTTTTAGGTGGACCCCCAACCTTTAGAAGTCAATGTTTGATCTCACTCACAAGGTCTTCTAGACACAAACCATGTCCAGGTATTTCTTCCCCACCAAAGTCCGTGTCTCTGTGTTCATAAATGTGGGCCTTAGAAGCCAAAGACCAGGCCTTGGTAAGGTTCTGCATGAGGGTCTTGGGTCTGATTGTGGCCTCCCTTGAGGCAGTACTGTTTACTCAGCACTCAGCATTTACTGAGCATTCGATCTGCATGGGACAAACAGGCCTACTCTCTGGATTATCCTATGCATCTATTGGCCATGGGGAGGGACTCCCTGGCCTGGTGGATCTCCGATGTGGTGTCAGGGAAGTCCTTCCTTTCATTGCAACGACAATACTAATGACGTACGCCAGCCTGTTGGGCTGAGGAGGTGTCCTAGGGACCTCAACTGTACAGGGGACATGGTTGAAGCAAAAGCTAGACAGCTCATAGTGATTAAACTAACCCCGCAGCACTGCACATGTCATCTCCAGTGGAGAGGAATGAGAGTTCAGTGAAAACAGCACCAATCAGAAGTCCAGGGCTCAAAGACAAGTGGACTGATCATTGCCTGAGCAGAACTTCAAATCCCACCCTTGAACGCTATTCACATTCCAGGAATAGACAATTGGCAGGTGGACTGCTAACTCAGTTAGCAGTAGTTGGACTGTAGAGAGAATGATCTCTACACCCCAAAGTGTTTTAGGAGAATTGCTGCTACTGGGGAACACCGAACATGGATCTTTTGGGGTCCAAACTCAACAAACTGGACAGGTTTGTATTCTGGTTCAGGGATGAGTGAGCCTTCATAGTGGATGCTCTGGTAACTCAGTGGAATCGGTTCTTTCTG